GCAATTTTTGGTAAATACTTAAAAATGTGTGATTTATTTTGCATATAGTGTATCATGTGATAAAATTAAATCGTATGTAAAATGATAACATTTCTGCTTTATAAGCGCTAATAGTGAAATATGTTCCACATTAAAGTTGAATAAATATATCCTGTAAATATTTCAAAATGTTTTGATATCTGGTATGGTTTGATGATTATAAGTGCATAATATACCTATCCTGTAAATTCTCAAAATGCGTGTTTTCTGGTCTGTTCCACTTTAATGAAAGGTAAACAGGTAACTATTGCTTGACTAACCAACCTTGGCTCATCCTGGTATAAGCTGACAAATGTGGCATCTGGCATATGGGAGGTTATTGTTGAATGGGGTGTTACACTACATGCTTCGTCTTGACCCGCCTGGGGATTCCACTTTAGAACTGGTCCCAAGTCTTGCCTATTCTATGGGGTGGATCGGATGATCTCGCTCAGAGTTGATGAGAGATAATGTTCATAATATCGGTCACTAGGTTTCTTACCTGAAAAGGTATTAGTCACACATTATTATTTTACAAACGTTGGTAGGTGTGCATGAAATGATCTGTACATATTATTCTTGAATTAACACGTGGCATCAATAATCTAGAAGGATGTTAAATTTTATCCTCAAATGTGTCAGATCTCTCAAATAGTTAGGTTAATGATCTCTCTGGTTCCACTGGTGTGTGGGGCGGTCGGGTAGCCTAGTGGTTCAAGTGTTCGCTTGTCACGCCGAAGACCCGGGTTCGATTCCCGACATGGGTACAATGTGTGAAGCCCATTTCTGGTGTCCCCCGCTGTGATATTGCTGGAATATTGCTAAAAGCGGCGTAAACCATACTCACTCACTCACTCACTCACTCACTCAACTTGTGTTTTTGTACCCGTTCGGACTGATGCCGATTTATAGTGCTTGTCCACTGAGATACCATGCCGCAGGTTGACATAAATACCCCTCACAGTATACTGACGCTGAGCCGACCAGTCCTTGTTTTAGCCCCTAAAGTACCATCTTTTAACGACTTTTGGTATGATGCGCTCGGGGATCGAACCACGGACCTTCCGCTCTCCGGGCGGACTCTCTACCACTAGACCTGGGAGGCGTTGGGGTAAAATACTATGCATACAATCTAAGAAAATGAAATTGAAGATTAATGTCTGTAATCTGTAAACTGCGACAACTATACTCAACAACAAAAGTTCCTGTGACACCAATAGTTTTGTGTATTTTTCAATCAAGTAAAGTTTGGTTTTCAATATTGTAGTACATGTATGGAATCAAGTCACAAAAACGCAACTGCTACAGAAAAGCATGCATTCCATGCAAAAGTTGACTTGTATGCAAGCCCCATGCATTTCACTACCCAAGAATGGGTATAAAAACATGTGCGTTAACGGGATTCCATATGTATTGTTCAGCATTGTGCTGACAACAACCACTCAGAAAAAACAACACAATTACGCAATTATTCAACATTACGAAATGCCACGCCTGTCCGAAAATGAGTGTCTGCGAGCCATTGGTATGCTTGAAGCAGGATCAAGTCAACGTGATGTTACAAGACAATTTAACGTCCACAGAAACACCATTTGGTGTTTATCGCAACGTTGGCAACAGACGAATGCAGTCAGAGACCATCCTCGGAGTGGGAGGCCACGCGTAACCAATAATCGACAAGACAACTGGATTCGAACAACACACCTACGAAATCGATTCCAGCCAGCAACAGTGACTGCAAGAAGCATCCCTGGCCTTCGACGAATATCTTCACAAACCGTACGTCGCCGCCTCAGATGTGCAGGGATTGTCGCCAGAAGACCCGCCAGACGTCCCATTTTGACAGGAAACCACCGTCAAGCACGTCTACAATGGTGCAGACAGCGTCTACGCTGGACGGCCATGCAGTGGGGACAAGTTCTATTCACTGACGAGTCTCGTTTTCACCTCAGCCACAGCGATGGACGGATTCGAGTGTATCGACGTCGAGGTGAACGTTACGTCAATCACTGTGTCATGGTAGAAGATCGGTTCGGGGGCGGCAGCGTTATGGTATGGGGTGGGATTACAGCAAGACAGAGGACCCGTTTGATAGTGGCAGTGGACAGCGCTACCGCGACGGGATCATCGGCCCTGTTGTTCTACCGTTTTTGCGTCGTCATGGCCCAGGCATTACCTTTCAACTTGACAACACCCGGCCTCTTATTGCTCGACTTGTTCAGGATTCTCTTCAACAAAACAACGTGAATGTCATCCCCTGGCCGACTCGCTCCCCTGATCTCTCAACAATCGAGCACATGTGGGATGAGATGGATCGGCGCCTTCGACGTCAACCACGTGTTCTACAGACACTCCAGGAACTTTTAAACATGCTCCAGCAGATATGGACAGATATCCCACAGGACTTTGTGCGACGCCTGGTCCATTCCATGAGACGAAGATGTGTTGCTTGCATCGCAACCAGAGGTGGACACTATTGATTTGTAAATTGACATTTTGGCATGTTCATGTTTTGAATGAAATCACGCATTTTCTGAAGTCAGTATGGAAAATTAAGAGGTGCAGTGTCAGTTGTATTCTCATTCAAGCATTCAGTCTACTTATGCCATGACTTGTATTCGGGGTTCGAATTGGTCCGCAGCAGCATGTGAGGTGGCTGAATGGATCGGGTGGTCAGGCTCGGTGACTTGGTTAACTGACGGGTGGGCGAGTCTAGTTTTACGCTGCTTTTGGCAATAGTCCAGCAATATCACAGCGGGGGACACCAGAAATGGGCTTCACATTGTACCCATATCGGGAATCGAACCCGGGTCTTCGGCGTGACGAGCGAACGCTTTAACCACCAGGCTACCCGACCGCCCCTAATTTAACTGGATTGTGAGGTCCAGACGGTTGCATCTCTTTGTGCATACAGTCCCAATATGCCTACATCCCATGGCGCCTACAGAAAGTAGTGTGGGCACACTGGGATATGATTTGATCCCCTCTTAGAATAATGGAACATCACTGATAGCTGTAAGCATAACTAATTACACGAAGTGGGAGACATTATATCTCAGAATAATGGAACCTCCCTGATCAGTATCAGGCAATCAGCTGAAGTGGTAGACTAAAACCAAAAACAATTTAAACTGTCTAAAATGAAAGAGGGGCATTATATTGTTTTTACTGAAACTGAGCATAATCCTGAGAAGTTGCTGGAGTCTTTATATTTTCCTTTTGAGGATTGTTCACATTGCTGAATGATGTAGTGAGGTTGGAGTTGGAGATGAGATTCAAAAAGACTATGCGGTGTCGGCTATTAGGGCAGTTGAAGAAGTTTACCCAGATGCAGAGGTGCGAGGATGTTTTTTGTCAAATGGAAGCCGTGTGGAGGAATGTAGCCGAGAAAGGACTCGCGCCTGACTACAAGGAGATGCCACAAGTCCAAGCCCATGTGAGAGGAGCAGCTGCTCTACCACTTCTTCCACTTGACCTAGTCCAAGACCCATGGGTTGCAGCTATGGAAGGAGGTCCTGACTCAGAGAAGACTTTAACGACTACATCACTTGTACCTGGGTGGACTACGGCGCATTCTTTCCTGCACGAATCTGGACACAGTATGGCAAACGTGGTTCCCTAATCAGAATCAAGATGGCACAATAAACTCCAGTATCGTATCGCCAAGGCCCATCCAAACCCCTTTGTGACCTACATCAAGAACATTGAAGCTGTGGACAAGGTCAAACGTGTCCATCTTGATCTTGGTGCCCCTTCCTAAGACTCGTAAGTGTGTAGGCTTGTGAGACTTAACAGAGCACTTCCAGACTGGAAGAAAGACTCGTTCAGTTCCTAGACGCTTCTGGACATTTGATTAAATTAGCAACATAGTTTGTGAACTTTGACTCCAGAAACTTTTAGGTTTGTGAATTTGACTGTGACTATGACACAATAATAAGAAATTCATATTGTGAATTTACATATTTCATATTGACATTAATATGTTGTGTATGTCTTTGATGTGATTTGACTGATCATTTTGCAAACAATAAACTAAAATGATACATGAATTAAACAACATAAACAATGACTATGACATTGTTCTCTATGTTTATTCGTTCTCCAGATTGCCAAAATTTCAATGATCAAGTTCAATTATTATTGGTAAATTAGGTCCATGGTCATCCTGACCATCAGATCGTCACGATATGGCTGAAATATTGCCGATGTGACGTAAAGCATTAACTCACTCACTCACTCACTGACCATCAGACCATATCATGTTGTTTAAAACTGAAGGTACATTAGGACTGTAGGCACATTCGAAAATTTACAGGCCTATGTCATAAAGGTGGAATAGTAGTGTGTGTTGCGTAAAACAACACTCGCTCTCTCACCCATGCACCCACTCACTCGTTCACTCATCCATCCACTCACTCACTCGTTCACTCATCCATCCACTCACTCACTCGTTCACTCATCCATCCACTCACTCAAAATAAATGGATCTTCAAAGATAAAATGCGAAATTTTTAATTTTGTTACAATTTTCAAAGATAAGACGATCAGTTGTGTATCATGTGAAATTATTATTTATTTTTTTCAAAGATTTAAATCAAACTATAGTATTTAAAAAAACAATGTAGAAGTATTCTTTGAAAGCTGACTAAGCTGAAGTAATATTCATTCTTTGGATATAATATCGCTAACTTAAGATATTTATAATTAAAAATCAAACTTATGAAACAATCAATTGAGGTGATAGTTTCTTTTGCGCCTCAGTTTAGAGGTGCCTGGGCCACAGAAGCAGCAACAATAACCGAAACAGTTTTACCAATTTTGTTTAAATATAACACAATGCACATTGATTGAAATATTTAAAAAAACAACTCCATCACTTGAACGATTTTTATTAGAATCCAGTGCAGATGCCATAGGAAATCATTATCTCCAAGGGAGCAACTGCAGGATGGACTGACTGTGGAGACAACAAATCAGTAGCACAGTGATTATACATGGGTGTGCATTGGAAATATCACCCGTCATACTATAATACTATTGAATAATAGTGGGAAAAGACATGTGAGTATATCAATTATTAAAACAATTCTTTTTTGATAAGTTAGTCTTTTAGTTCTATTGAAAAGAGAAATGAAATCACAATTATAATGATTGACTATTATTTTACATACCGATCAACACTTTAAGCAATACAGCATATCATTTGTGAAGAGAGACCAGTCAGATTAAGGTCGTTTTGGGTCAAGAAGATAGAGCAATGTGGAAACATTAAAGTGTGGCTATCTCTCACAAAGAGAACGATAAGGTCCACCCATTTCATCAAAAACACAATATGCTGGGCGTGATTTGAATTTGCTTAAATTTAATTGAACGTAAAATCTGGAGTCTAGGATCATATGCTTCTAACAAATCTGTCATAAATTATAAAGTTATCACTTTCGGAAAATGTATGGTTATGTAGGGAACATATCATCACTATTTGAAAGTGGTACATAAATACTTGCTCATAATACAGACGGATTCGTACAACGGATTTCTTATGATTGCGGTTTTGTGGATGCATTGGTCATCAAGCTGACACTCCGTCATATAACTGAAATCATGTTTAAAGAAGAATTAAACCATTCATTTATTCCCTGTTACACTACTGTCTCCTCAATCGTGCCATAGGCGCGACATTATTATGCATGATGTGCATTAGTATGTGTCATGCATAAGAGGGGAGTCTTTGAAAGGCATTTAGAAGTGATACACTAAGGAAGAGAATTAATGGATGTCAACTTCTTTATTATGAGGACCACAACGTTTCGGAGAATATGGTTACTCCTTCATCATTATCTTCCTCATATAAGAGAAGACAATTGACACATGATCAACTGTACTGTCATATTCGTTGCATCATCCAGGCCGCGGGAGTTCCCGCAATATTGACATAAATTTCCGCAATCATTGATTGCACAAATCCCGCAAATATTAGCGTCATGGCGCATGTCAAAAGAGCGAGGATGAAGACGCTCACGTTTATCAAAACAGTTGCATTCCTCGTGAAGATCGATGTTTCCGTGAATAGTCTTATAAAAACATGCTGTATAAGGTATCTGTGGATTGAACCGCGGCTTCTTTCTTATAACTTTCACAAACTTGTTGTTTGTCCCTTTTCCTACCACGCGATGTCCTAACAACCACGCCCCGAGCCCTCATCCAAATTGGATGACTGCTTATGACAACTGTCAAGTACTTTGCAACCTCGCTTGTCTTTAATATGAATAAAAAAAACATTTTCGTGTGACGCTTAATTTGACGGAAGAGTTGTTCGAGATGACTATGGGAGCCTATGGTCATTTTAATTGTGAAATTGATTACTTTATCGTCCAATTCAAGAATACATCCTTCCTGATATCAACTCGAATTAACAAGATGGCTCCTCCCTTGCCGTCCTTGCAAGTGCAACAGAGATTTTGACAAATTCAGTGCCGATTCTTGGGATTTGTGGATCAGTGTCACAACCAGATTCCATTGTGAAGCCTGTTGAAGGAGATGATGTCTGTTCACACTGCTTTTGTCAACCATGCGTGACACAGCACAGGCAATCGTGGTTTGGGAATGGTGCCCCGCCAAGTTGCAGAAATTCGTCCATTCGAAAACAACGCTACAAATACTTCAGGACTGAGCCAAATAGACGAGTTGTTTGGGGAGATCCTAGATACTTGGACTTGAAGAAACGGATATTAAACATAGCAGCATATCAAGGATTGGTGTGGACAAAACGGGAAGTGATGCCAGATTGTATTTCAATACTTGTGCGCGAAGTGTATCCGAATCAAAAGAACCAAAAATGCATGGGACACACGTAGATCTAATGAGATAAAGATTGCGTGAAAGAAAAGGAAATCCATAATTAAAATTGTCTTGGAATATGTGTGTTGGATTTTTCGTTTATTGTAAGTACGATATTATCTAGATAGGCCTTATGCTGGTCAAAACATCGAGTTTTATTTCGTTACTTATTTAGCCTTATCAGTTGGTTATGTACATTGTTAATATATGTTTGTACATGTGACATATTCATATATTGTTGTCAAGCTAAGCAATATTGGCGCTACTTCTAGTGTTTTAAATTAGGTCACTTCCTAAACACTAATTGAAAGGTCTGTGTAATCTTTTAGGTTTTAGGAATATAATCTGATTTTTGTGTGGTATAACTGTTGAATGCAAGTGACTAATTATATATGCTACGCAAATCTGACGTTTTCGGATTGAACTGAAAGAATCTTGTCACTAATACTTATGCAACTAACGTCAATTTCCTATTTATGTATCGTTACTGTTGCATTTTCCGAAACTGTTGTTGTGCTGCCATTCTTCCGTAAATATCTACACCATAATAAAAATTGACCACAAATGCATCGAATGTTTTACCCGTACACATGACCATTTGCAATTTAGAGCACAACCCCAAATAAGCTCCGCCCTCTGATGCAGACGCTCAAACACTATCGATTCGATTTTGTATGATAGAACAACAAACAATTTATTGACTTAAATTGTAGATATGGTGTCATTTGTGGTATCCAAGGTTTGTCATTCAAGTTGATACGAAGTTTGGCGGTCTTTGGTGATCGTGTCTCCGTACGGTTCTCTCCACACTCGGTTGTGTTTACGTTGCCAGTCACTGTTCGGAACTGAAACATCGCCACCTTGTGGGCTATTTATAGTCAGGGTAGGGCTTGAACTAAATATTATATTTCTGAAATTCTAGTACTAGGGCTGGTCAAAGTGTTCTCAGCCTAACAAACAAAACCAACAACTGCGAAAGTGTTGATAATTTTTTTTTCAACAGAATCGCCCTGCTTTTCAAAACACTCTTGCATATCGATAGTGAAGCTTTTCATTTCCAGTAAGGAAGAAGTTTTCTAAAGCCACCTTGAAAAACCTATTCACGGCAGCTTTGAGGTCATCGTCGTCGTCATAGTGATTTCCACGAAGGTGTTCATTCAGAAACAGGGGAAAATCATCTGGGGCCAGGTCTGGAGAGTATGGAGGGTGAGGTCGCTCCTCGAACCGTTATTATCGCACAGCAGCCTTTGCATGTCGGTAGAACTGCAGCAGTCAGCATTTCTCATTGCTTTTCTCATCGCTTTTCTTTGTTTGAATCTCTCAGGTGATGAAGCAAATCAGCATAGTAGGCACCGGTAATCGTCTTTTGACTTTCTAAGTAATCAACAAGGACCACACCCTTTGCATCCCAGAATACAGTGGCCATAACTTTCTTTACTGATTTTGAAGACTTGAATTTCTTTGGTGCCGAAGAAGTGGAATGGTGACATTCCAAGGATTGACGTTTTCACTCGGGATCACAGTGGTGTTTCATCAACCTTCACTAATCTCTTTGTGCATTTGCCGAAACCCTCTTTAATTAGGTCTAAATTTCCTCTGTCAATGGCAGTTCTGTTTTTCCTTAAGATCAGAATTGAGAAACTTTGGCACCCGACGAGCAGATATATTATTCATCTGTAATTATTCATGAATAATAGTTTCAGTGGATCCATGGCTTAGACCTGTGTCTTTCTCAAGTTCAGCGATGGTAATACACTTGTGACATGCGGTCATGAATTTATTGGGGGAGAAATTTTCTCTAAAGTCAAAAACTTGATGACTGTTCGGTACTCATTCTTTTCCATTTCTGTGTCCATTTGGACCACTGTCACGTTCAACTGTCTGTCACTAACATACAAATGGGCTCAAGAGACCCAATACACTTACAATGGACTAGTCAAACAATGTACTACATTGACTTTCACTTTGTTATGGCCAATAGTTGAAAGTTAGCTAGGCGCAGTGCAGTTCGTTTGGAATTAAATTAGAGTGAACCCTCGCTACAACGGGCTCACCTCATTTCACGACCGCCTGTTGTTTAGAATAAGTAAAGCAGTCCTGCGTGCTGATTGGGAAAACAAAAGCAGACAGCACGGGTCGTCTAATTTTTTTATTAGCTTTACACTTCCACAGAATCCAGGCTTTCAGTTCGCAGTATTCCACAGAAATATCATTTCATTACAACTCCTAGCATATAATGTGAACAATGTCTTTAATTGTCTGTCCGTCTGTCTTTAATAATATGAATCAATATATCTACTGACAATATTTGTTCAAGCAACATCAGTGAGAAGCTTTGACTGGCATTGATCGACAGTTGTAAAGTTTTAATAAAATTTCATTTTCAGAGGAGATGGTGCCCGCTATTACTCTGTCTCTCGTTCTGACGAATCTTGTTGTCCACAATCTCCTGTCGTGGATACCTGAATCCCTGGTTGACTGCAGCTCCAGGTGTTTCCACAACACATCATGTTCCTCCTTCTTCTACAACCGAGGCGATGGAACCTGTAACTTGAATACTGTTGTCTACTCTGCTGTGAGCGACACTCTAACCCCCTTACACGGCGTGTTGTACTACGAGTGGAAGCATGGTGTGTATGAATTGTTGAATCTCACTACAACTCGCTGTGTAGGGTTTTGTCCCGTAACTATCACGGCAAGTATGAACCTTGTAGTATTACAATCAATGGCTTTTTATTTAGCTCTTCAGTTACCATATATTCCAGCTATATGACGGTTGCAGAATCCAGCTACATCACCCGTGAGGTGAATTGGGATTAACGTCGCGTACAATTTTAACGCACTTATATAGCGACGGGCATGTTAACAACAAGTACGATCTTGTAACCTCTTTTGTATGACCTGGCCGGGGATCGAACCCCGACCTTCATCTCTCCGGGCGGATGCTCCACCAATTGTATGGTCGAGTCTGGTCCACACAAGCAAGTGTGCAACGAACCACCGAGCTGGGGCATGATGGCACACAATCAGCTGAATTACCGAGCCTCTACCCCTGATGCGCTTGAGTTTGTATCTCATGACAAGAATACGTTGTTAGGGGCATATTCTTTCTTGGAATCCCCACGGGATAGCAGCCAGCCGAGAACAATTGAGAATACAAATAATAACCATGCACATGTAATCATTCTGCTTAAAGACTGTTCTACCTGTCACACGGACTTAGAGGTGAGGTGAAATTGAGTTTTACGTCGCGTCCAAGATTATTGCACTTATATAGCGACGTGCATGCACGTGTATGTGTGTGTGTGGCTGCTTGTATTAGTCCGGACTGATGCCGATTTATAGTGCTAGCTCACTGAGATACCATGCCGCAGTTTAACATGAATACCCCACTCAGACACAGTATACTGACTCCGAGCCGACCAGTCCTTGTTTTAGCCCCTTAATGTCGAGCGCCAGACAGGGTAACAACAAGTACCATCTTTTAACGTCTTTTGGTATGACGCGGCCGGGGATCGAACCCCGGACCTTCCGCTCTCCGGGCGGACGCTCTACCACAAGACCACGGAGGCGGCCACGGACTTAGATCTAGATGCATTGATGCTGCATCAAGACTGTTCTACTAATCAATCCGATATAGATCTGGATGTATTGATGCTGCTACAGAGCTGTTCAACTAATCACACAGACAGATGTATTGGTGCTACATCAAGACTGTTCTACTAATCACTCAGATATAGATCTAAATGCATTAGTTTCAAGTTGAGGTATTATTGATGTTGATTGTTAAATTTCCCAACCAAGGCCCACATTGTTGGAATATACATCAAGCGCCAATACACTTGATCGGTTCAAGCAATCGAGAAAAGTACGACTAGTGTCATGTCAGATATTTCTCGAATATTTGGTCGTCTCATTTGGACGCAGATAATGTATGATGTGCGACCTTGTGGTTTATGGCAGCTAATAAATAATGTCATTTGGACACATCTCAGATCTTCCCATGGTTAGATGTTTATATATGCACATGTTTCATGTATACTTTCAGAAGGCTGTGATGAGTCAGCAGGTCGGACGTTTCAGAGGGCCTCGTGGCTGTGTTTCTATGTTGTTCAAATTGCGATGACACACAGCTCAGCACAAGCATCTTGCTCCCTCCTAACTGCCAACACCCAGAGTAAGGTGGATCAAGCTTACATCATAGCTTCACGCTACGGTAAATGATGCAGACATGAATTGAAGTCTTTCATACTTGAAAACATCTTCCAACACTATATCGATTGGAACTGGTAACACATACAATTCCGCTTTCATCCACAACTAGATGACTGTCCAAGTTTTTGAACCACATACAATCAATCAAAACGCTTCTGGTAAATGTCTACCGATTGAACAACCTTCTTACATTCTGAATCTCTATCGATTAAGAAATGGATTGGGCAAAGAAGTTTGATAAGAAAAGATAAAACGCTACTTTGAAAACTTTCACGTCGTCAAATGCACCATTTTAGCAGAGATGTATCCCTTAGACATATTCTGGGGGTAATGGTTTCGAATTTAAGATATGATCTGATTATGAAGTTTGGTTTGTCAACGCCGGCGTCGTGCATCCTTGAAACAACCTTCCAAACCTCTATAGACTAGACCTGGTAACATACATAATTCCGCTTTCATCAAAAACTAGATAACTCGAAGTTTTTAAGCCATGGACAATCAATCTTCATGTTTCCATGTTAAATGCCTATGGATTGAAAAAAAATGTATTGGTCATAGGAGTTGATAACGCAATACGTTTTGTAAACGTTCAAGTCGTCAAATGCACCTACTTGCAGAGTTGCATCCATTAGATGTACTAGTATCTGGTTTCGAATTCCTATATTCGATCTGATTATGAAGCTTAGTTTGTCAGGGCTGGAGTCGTGGGTTTCCTCAATGTGGTACACATGTAAGATCTGCATCACTTAGGGCTTTCCTCTGACATTAAGCAGACATGCAGTGATAGAACTGATATACAGTCCAAAGCGGCGTTGAAGCATACTCGTTTTAAGAATGACAAGTAGTCCTTACAAATAATATTTGTTGTAGATGAACGTCAATGGATCGGGGGACATCTCTCCTCTGGCATTTGGAAATGGACGAGTGGCAAATCGTTCGGCGATTTTCTGGCATGGATGAGCCCACACCCGATACCAGGCAGGGACTGTATGATCGTGCCGATGGCAAAGCCACAATGGGCCTCGGACGTATGCGCTAGTGCCAAATGGTACATTTGTGAGGTATCAATTCCCCAGGAAACATCATATTGCAACTACTAGAATCTGATGAAAGACGAACCGCAGTGGTTGTATGGTAATCAATCACCCCCACAGGAAAGCGCAATCGACTTGCCTTTGCAGACAGACAGATAATTTATTTGAGTCTCGTCTCGTTACATATAAATTTTATGGGGAATCAACTCTTTAAACATATCTCAGTATAAAAGAATATAGAGTAACGAGCCACTCCCTACGGAATAATGAGAGACTCTATGGACATCGGTGAAAACATGTATACATTTTCACATATAATAGACACGATATAAATACAGGTCTTGGCAGTTGTATAAATCAATCCTGGGCTGGACAGTATGAAACCTTTCGGTAAATTACTAAAACTATCAAAATCAGAACATATGTAACGGTATTTGGAAATAAAACAAAACCTTAGGTCTTCATAGCGTGGACAATGTGATAAAACATGCCTTTCATGTTCTATTTCATCCGTACAAAACGGGCAGGTTCTCTCTGCAAGCGGTTCTGCAACACATCTAAACCTTGACAGTGTTTGTTTGTTTAATTGTTGTTTAACGCCTCACAGCAATATTCCAGCTATATGACGGCGGTCTGTAAATAATCGAGTCTGGACCAGACAATCCAGTGATTAATATCATGAGCATCGATCCACGCAATTGAGATGGATGACATGCATCAACCAAGTCAGCGAGCCTGACCACCCGATCCCGTTAGTCGCCTCTTACGGCAAGCATGGGTTGCTGAAGACCTATTCTACTCCGGACCTTCACGGGTCCCTTGACAGTGCACTTCTTAGAGTTCTTGTGAGGCTTTTGTGTTCAAATGCTTCTGCACCGCAATTATCCTTAAAAGTACAGTGTGTTCTTAATATATTTTTGCCACATGTCCCACATGCAACATGAAACAGTACCAGATCGTTTCATATATAATTTAAGACAAAGGCTAAAAGATATGTATTTTCAAAAGTGGTACTCTTCACTAGGTTTACACAATAAGTTAAAGCATTACACCTGTTTTAAATCATTCATTCTGACCGAAAAATATCTTTTGGATATAAATGTTAAGAAATTCCAAACAGCACTATCCCGTTTCAGATGTAGTTCTCATGACCTTCTAATAGAAAAAGGTCGACATTTAGCGATACCAAGGGAATACAGATTGTGTAAATATTGTACTTGCCAAGAGATAGAAGATGAATACCTTTTTTTGCTAGTCTGTCCATTGTATGCAAATATCAGAAAAGAATACCTACATAAATATTTTTATCTGAATCCTAGAATAGACAAATTTTATATCCTCATGTCATCTCAAAATGAAACAGTCACAAAATATCTTTCAATGTATATATATCATGCAATGAACATCAGATCCTCTGCATTATAGATGTGATATTTAGTTACGATATAAGTTATTCCTGTAGCACCCATTGCTACTGTATGTATATATGTACTATAGGCCTATGGCCTTTTCAGTACTTGAAATAAAGACTGATTGATGTCCCACATTTGCTGTTCGGTAATTCAACGGTTGTCCTCCACTCTTCTTTGAATTTTTCAAACATTTTATATTGCACTTCCGATGACCTATATTTGCTGCCGTATTTGTTATCCGTGGAGACAATGTGTCTGGGGCCAAGTGTATCCAATCTCCGCTGTATTCTAAAGATTTCTTTTAGTTGCCCTGCGGTGACTCTACGTGAAAATGCGATGTGCTAAGCGTCCTTGGTGTAGGTTACCGAGGCGCATATAGATTCGAGTAACACTTTCTCATTGACGGTGAGACGGGGGTATCAAACCCATATCCACACAGGCTGCATTATTTGGGGTATATTTTCTCACTCCGAGGAAGAATCTAATGGTTCTGTTCTGTACAGCCTCGATGTACGTCATGTTGTATGTTCCCCATAAACCAGCACCGAATTCTATCACCGATCACGCCATAGAGCAATATAACTTTGTGATTGTATTGTATTGCATTGCTCCAAGCAGCTTGGATTTCGATATGTTTTTGTTTGTTTTTTGTTTAAAACTGCACTCAGCAATATTCCAGCTATATGACGGCGGTCTGTAAATAATCGAGTCTGGGCCAGACAATCCAGCGATTGATGTCATCGATCCACGCAATTTGGATACGATGACATGCATCAACCAAGTCAGCGAGCCTGGCCACCCGATCCCGTTAGTCGCCTCTTACGACAAGCATAGTCGCCTTTTATGGCAAGCATGGGTTGCTGAAGACCTGTTCTACCCCGGATCTTCACTGGTCGTATTTCGATATGAGGAGGCCAAGCGCTCTACTGGCCGAGCTAGCTTCTGCTCTAGCCATCCGATTAAAAACCAGATATACGCAGAATAAATACTTTTGGCGTCAGGTTTAAAAACAAGCAAATATTCGTTCACTGGACATGATAGATGTCCAAAAAATAAATGTGTTGTGGTTCCCGAAAATTGATTGGCTCATCTATTCTTGGCTACATCAATCAAGTTGGCAAGGGAACACGGGTGGCCCGTTCGTTTAGGCACCACAATTCACAGTGCCGAGTTTGTCAGTACCAACCCAATGCTCGCCGTTGTCGTCAGTGTTGTAATCACCCTCGCCTCCTTTAGCTTTCTTTTCCTATCAAAATGACACGCTACTATAGAAGTTAAGGGGGCGGTCGGGTAGCCTAGTGGTTAAAGCGTTCGCTCGTCACGCCGAAGACCCGGGTTCGATTCCCGACATGGGTACAATGTGTGAAGCCCATTTCCGGTGTCCCCCGCCGTGATATTGCTGGAATATTGCTAAATGCGGCGTAAAACCATACTCACTCACTATAGAAGTTAAGAAATGTTAGAAGCGACATTAACCCAAGTCACATACAATAAATCATAAACAACAATTAAGTATAAATCAATCCTAGGCTGGACAGTATGAAACCTTTCTGTAAATTACTAAAACTATCAAAATCAGAACATATGTAACGGTATTTGGAAATAAAACAAAACCTTAGGTCTTCATAGTGTGGACAATGTGATAAAACATGCCTTTCATGTTCTATTTTATCCGTACAAAACGGGCAGGTTCTCTCTGCAAGCGGTTCTGCAACACATCTAAACCTTGACAGTGTTTGTTTGTTTAATTGTTGTTTAACGCCTCACAGCAATATTCCAGCTATATGACGGCGGTCTGTAATTAATCGAGTCTGGACCAGACAATCCAATGATTAATATCATGAGCATCGATCCACGCAATTGAGATCGATGACATGCATCAACCAAGTCAGCGAGCCTGACCACCCGATCCCGTTAGTCGCCTCTTACGGCAAGCATGGGTTGCTGAAGACCTATTCTACTCCGGACCTTCACGGGTCCCTTGACAGTGCGCTTCTTAGAGTTCTTGTGAGGCTTTTGTGTTCAAATGCTTCTGCACCGTAATTATCCTTAAAAGTACAGTATGTTCTTAATTTATTGCCACATGTCCCACATGTAACATGAAACAGTACCAGATCGTTTCATATATAATTTAAGACAAAGGCTAAAAGATATGTATTTTCGAAAGTGGTACTCTTCACTAGGTTTACACAATAAGTTAAAGCATTACACCTGTTTTAAATCATTCATTCTGACCAAAAAATATCTTTTGGATATAAATGTTAAGAAATTCCAAACAGCACTATCCCGTTTCAGATGTAGTTCTCATGACCTTCTAATAGAAAAAGGTAGACATTTAGCGATACCAAGGGAAAACAGATTGTGTAAATATTGTACTTGCCAAGAGATAGAAGATGAATACTTCGATTACGAATTTCGATATTATGGAATACACGTTTTCGCTTACCTGTTTCACATAGAAAACGAGGTTAAAGTACATTGCAAATATGGACATTGATTTATCATGAAATAAACAAACGTTTCGCAACTCAGAAGTTATGTTTGCTAGATATAAATATTCTGGATAATTCCTCCATCCGTTACATTGAGTGTATGTGTATGTTGGTTTTGGTAAAAGAAAACATATTTTGCTTGATTGTGCTGACATATCGTGTGCTCTCAAAATAAAAAAAGTTCCCATTACTTGTTGTTTGATGGCTTAGAAATCTTTAGTCATATATGGACATGTATGTAGTAAAACTTGCATTAGCTTTTGGACAGCACCAAACTGTTAACCCTTTAACATATATATACTTACTGTCTGATGTGTGGACATGATTGGTTTGGTTGGTTTGTTGTTTAACGCCACATGCAATATTCCAGCTATATGACGGCGGTCTGTAAATAATCGAGTCTGGACCAGACAATCCAGTGATTAATATCATGAGCATCGATCCACGCAATTGGGATCGATGACATGCATCAACCAAGTCAGCGAGCCTGGCCACCCGATCCCGTTAGTCGCCTTTTCCGACAAGCATGGGTTGCTGAAGATCTATTCTACCCCGGATCTTCACGGGTCTGTGTGGACATGAATGACCCGGATCTTAATGCCACCATGTTTAGTTATCCATCACCACGAAAAGTGTTTCATAATTTCCATCGACTATTGTTCATTTATTCCAAATTCTAGGATGCATGAAGAATACAGTTAACGGATTCATTGAAAATCTATACATGCATTATGACATTGTTCACAAGGTCTCGATCCATAATGATCGTAAGAATTTATACGGCAAATTTAAATCAATGACAGAGTATGTCGTGTGTCAGAACAGAGAAGCTTGCGTGTCCTTCCACCATCAACACGTTAAAGGTCTCGAGGGATATAGGTTGTGATGTACGCTGCGTGTATGCGTATGTGCCCCGAGCCTTCAGGTACTTACCCTTAGAGTGAGTGAGTGAGTTGGGTTTAACGCCGCTTTTAACAGTATTCCAGTTATATCACGGCGTGTCAAGCTTGATGTGGGAGGAAAGCCCGAAGTGATGCAGGTCTCAGACGTTTACCACTTCGGTGAAACCCACGAGCACGGGTATGGTGCTGACAAACCTAGAAACATAATCGGGGCGATCCGGGATTTGAACCCACAATCATAGGTTTCTGGCGTGCCCAAGGGACGCAACTCTGCACAGCGAATCACGGCGCCTTAGACGACTGGGCCACCCGTGCCCCCACTTACCCTTAGAAACAAGTATAGTGACATCTACTTACTAAAATAGTAACAGCGACCAGAAGGTTAGTAAACCGCGAATTTACAATCGTGTCTGGTAGATTGCACACGTCAGAGGTGGAGAGAAGGGGTATCCTGTTTCAGTTACGACGTCAAGACCACGTGACGTTCCGCACCTCCGCCTTGGTCAGTGTCACGCTCGACATTTTGAGAAAACAAAGAGACGCTTACAAGATAACCCAAACCCATCTTTTGATACAAATACCTTTACCGTCATAAAGCGTTTTTTCATGATCATAGGTGTATGATGGTTTGTGGGATGGGGGGTGTTGCCTTTACCCATAAGGAAGACATGGGGTGTGTTATGACAGATAAAAGTATAGGATTGTTTGTGGGGTGTGGGTGGTGCCTTTAACCAAACGGAAGACATGGGGTGCTTTATGACAGATTATAGTATAGGATAGTTTGTGGGGTGGGGGTGGTGCCTTTAACCATAAGGAAGACATGGGGGGGGGGGGGGGGGGGGGGGGGGCTTTATGACAGATTATGGTATAGGATGGTTTGTGGG